TGGTGGCAGAGAGACTTATTGAGCTTGCATACATCATTTTCGAAGATCAGACAACAAATTTATTGACTAAAGTTGTATCCAAGGAACGTCATTTGTTCCTGGCTCACAAATTGATGTTGCGACAACATCATCAATTCGAGGGAGTGTATTGAACTTAATGTATGAATAGGTAATTAACCGTACTATAAGGTTACTTACCTATGTAATGTACCCTTGGTTTATGGTTTATGTCGATTAGGGTATATAGGATGAATTAGCCGCTTGGCTATGTATGCTATAATTTCTTGTTGAAGATAATATATAAACTCCGAGAGGTGAGTCTCCGAGGACTAGTCTCAGTAATACTCTCTGAGGAAACCACATAAATCTTGTGTCTTGAGTTCTTCTTCTGGTTCGCGTATAGTTTAGCATCACTAACACAATATGTGTTAGCTAGTTCACGTATGGGAGAAAGCCAACTTCACCATACTTGAGGATATACAAATTACAGAAAAATATGAAAAATATTTATAACACTTCTCAAAAGTCAACGAAATTCCCATTACTTCCGGTCTAAAAAAATTATCTGATTCAAGGATATCAACGCTGCAAGTGCTTGCTTTTGCTTTGTTTCATGTTTCACTGATCCTTGAAACTTGAAAGGATAATTTGACATGGGATGACAAGCACTAACCTTAAAATGAGCAAATCACCAAAAAAATCTTAAGAAATATCAATGCCAGGCTGGCCGGTTAGGTTTCTTCCCCTTTGAAAGGCAAAAGTAGTTAATTAAGACAAAACACCATGAACATGATTTGGAAGTTTGCTTGTTTTGTGTGGTTTAGAAATTATGAAGTGGGATATTTGTTAGGGCCAGGAGGCCTCATTGGAGAGTAATCAGAGAAGAAGAGACTTTGTGATAGGGACTAGCTAAGCTCTTGTTTGTGGGATAAAGTTTGAACAAGATAAGCTTATTTAACTAACTCTTAAGACTAAGGAAAGTACCAAAATAAGAGGGGAAAACTTAACTTATCCCTCCTATATTATATTTCTTCTCATATAAATGGGAACAATAAAGTACAACTTCACTTAATACATACAAATTTAATTAATTAAATCTATCATGAAATTTAAAAAACAAACAATAGTATTTTTTTAAGACTATAATGATCTCAAAATATTTATATATTTATGATTTAAAAAAACTAAATTTTACTAAAATTTTATTTTTCAAATCCACGAAACAAACGACCTGTAATAGAGAAAAATGTGGTTTGGATCCAACATTTGTTTTTTTTTGTCTCAGTCTCACAAAAGATGATACCATATTTTTTGTGTGGGTGTTTTTGCGATTTGATTTTCTTTCCTTTTGGGGTTTAACCTCTTCATATAATACCCATTTGGGATAATATTTATGTCATTCCTTGTTGAAAATTTCTCAATTTAACCATAAAAAAAATTCTCGATTTAGTACCTATGTCTTTGAAGCTCCTACTTATATTGTTCATGGCTTGAAAGAGATTGGGTTCATTCATTTCATTCGAAACACATTTATATAAAATATGCATGCCTAAATGAATAGGATATGATATTTTTGCTATAGTCTCAACTTAAATTATTTTTCACCAAAACAAAAGACTCCTTTGTTCTACTAACTTATAAAAAATTCTAACTATTAATTGTTATTTTTAGCTAAGTAAGTTAAGGGATTGTCGCTAAACTGGTCTCAATTAATGAACTAGTTTGGCCATGTGATAGATTTTGCAGAAGTAGTTTCTGGCTGGAATTTTTAGAAAAGTGTTTGAATCTAACTGGGTGTAGGAGTGAGATTCAGGTAAAAAGGGGTCGAGGAGAATTGAGTAACAGGAACCGAACTGGGGCTTCAGAAAGAAAGAGGGAAGACATGGAGCTCAGAGAGTAACTTGTAGAGAGAAGTCTGTTCTTTTTCTTAGAGAGAGAGTTTCCAAAAATCCGATCCCCTCACCCACCGGAGTAAATGCCCTATTTATAGGCTACGTGGTGGTGGGTGAGTTACATGGTGACATGACCACTGACATGTCAGAAGTCTAGACCATACCTCTACCTAGGACAAGTACATTTAGCCTTTTATTATACCTAGGACTAGGACTGGGACTGTGATGTGACCACTCGATGGGTGAGACGCGGCGTCGTTTTCCCACACTCGCTAACTTGGTCAACGCTGGATTCGAACGTCGTCGTTCGGTGCTCGGGCTTTCTTTGGTCGCGTCGGTGCTAGTGCGCGCTCTTGATGGCGTCGGTGCTGGTGCGCGTGACGCTCTTGATGGTGGCGCCTGTCAGTGTGCGTCTTTCTGGTCGCGCCGGTGCTAACGCGCCCAACTACTTTGATGTCGGTGTTTCTTTGGCGCGGCGGGGTCCGAGTCACATGCCCAACAATTGCCCCCCATCAGGGGGTGTTCCGCGAATACCGCCTGTTTGACTTCTGCGCGACTGACTCGAGACCGCGTGATTTCCGTGAGCGTTTTAGGATTGACGTCTTTTGATTTCCGCGCGATTTCCGTGAGTTTTTTTAGGGCTGATACCATTCGGTTTTCGCGCGATTGACTCGGTTCTGCTTGATTTTCGGGAGATTTTTTTGGGCTGGTGGTTTTGACTATTGCGCGCGATTGCCTTGACTGCGCGCGACGCCTTCTACTAAGGTTGGACTTTTGAGGGTGTTTTTTCTCTCTGTGGGTGTGTCGTGCCCCCCAGGCGATGCGCGGAGCTTGTGACGTCATCGGCTAGTGCCTATGCCTATGCTAGGTGTCCACGTGCCTAGTGCCTATGCCTATGCCTATGGGTGGTCCGTTGTGGCGGTCATTTTGTAATTCGAAAAGGCTCCGACGGTTGCGTTTTTCGAAGCAACTTTAATCGTTCGACTTTCCTCTCTCAGGTATAAATAGTTAGCCATCAGGGGAGTTGAAACCCATTCTGCCTCATCCAACTATGTTTCTTATTCTCTCTACATCGGGTGTGTTCGAGATTCCTCTCCTTCTTCTACAACCTCTTTTCTCAACTTGTTGTTGCCAAAACTCAAGATCTGCCATGGCTAACGTCAACGTCAACGAGATCGAGGTCGTGCAAGGCAAAGAAGGTAATCTCTCCTCTCCTTCGCGTGTTTCTACTGATCCTTCGTTGGATCTAGCTGATTCCGGTAACGGGGGCGACGGCGGCGGTGGGGTTCCGGCGATGCCGTCTTACGCCGTCGATTTGGAACTGGATTGCCGTGGCTCGTCCGATGTGGATGCGACGGTGTCTGGGAGTGGGCCGTCCCGCACCGGTGCTCGTGGTGTGCTGATAATCCGCCGCGACCGTGCGGGTGTGTCTGGGAGCGCGAATCGTGAAGCGCGGGAGGGGTCTGACACGCAATCAGAGCCGCGCTGCATCGCGCGCGTATCCGAAGCGATAAGCCGCCTAGGGTTCCGCGGTGTGGGAGAGGCGTACACAATAATTGATTGGGCGGAAATGTGGGGCGATGAGCCAGCGCCGCGAGACAGTCAACTAAGGTGGCCCGATCACACGTCAATCTACGCACGGAGAGAAGTGACGGAGATTGTGCGTGGGTTGGGTTTGCCCCCCCCACCCCCATTGGGAGTACGCGATTCCTTCCACGCGGAGTACTGTTTGTAATTGCCCCCCAAGATGGATCGGGGTGTATACCGAGTACTGGGTGATGGGATTCATGTTCCCCATTGACCCGCTGTTATGCGCGAACTATAGGCGGCTCAGCTGCTCGGTTGGTCGCCTTTCCCCTTTAGTTATTATGCACGCGAGTTGCCTCCGCCTCGCGTGCAAGAGGCTCAATATCCCGCCGTCCTACGGGTTGTTATGTAAGATGTACAAGATCAAGGAACCGACAAAAAGGAGTGATTGCCTCTCAATCAGGCGGCGGGACAAGAGGCCCGACGGTTTTGTGTATGGGTCTCCCAAGTTGAAGAAGACTTGGTTCGAGCGCTTATTCTATGTAAAGCCCACGCCGGGGGAGCGGGCGAGTGAGCACATGGAGGAGCCGAAGACTTGGAAGAAGGGTAGCATGCACGGCTACGAGCGTGACCTGGGCAAATATGACAGGCTCGACGCTAAATATGAAGCGTGCTTGAATTAGAAGTTTAACTTTTACTTGGGCGGGGTCCGCGAAGCTTGTTTGGCGGAGCTCTTTGCTGATGGTTAGTTGCGTTTCTTTCCTTATGCATTCTACCATATTAACCACTCTCTTACGATTTATTGGCGCAGGTGTTGACTTCTCCAGTCTAGTCAGCATGATGTCGGTGGACGACGTGGTCGTGAAAGCTTCGTGGGCTTCGAGTGGCGAAAAGAGGAAGAAGAAGGAGACCGCGCCGTCTGAGCGCGTGAAGAGGAAGGAGGTCGAGCAGCCATCGGTGGCGGAGAAACCCCGCGAGGCAGCTCGGGTTGACCCTCAACCTGAACGGGTGGTTGAGCAGGCGGCTCAACCTGAGCAGGTGGCTGAGCGGGCGGCACAACAGTTGCCGCTCGTGATTGTGGATGAGGACGCGCCCGGTGCGCGAGTGGATGCGGCTCCGCGTCCAGAGAAATCAGCGGCCGGAAGCTCGTTTGGTGCGACGCTTCAGCAGAAGCTGCCCGAGATGGCTTCTGCCATCAACTACTTTCGCGACGTGCCGATCCACACCGGCGCGGCGTGCAATAGCGTAGCAGCAAATACCGCGCTCCGCGCGTTGGGGCCCCACCTGAGTACCCCTGCGCGGATGGAGAAATCCGATCCGCTGCAAGACCTGGCTCAGATTCATTTTGCGGTGAGGTTATTTTTGATTGCTTCGACATTATGTGAAATCCTTGCTAATTTTTGCTAAGTCTCGGGGCGCTTGTGAATGTAGGGTTTGCTGGCGGCCTTTCGGGCCCAAAAGGAACGGGGTTCGCACCACGCGAAACTATAGACGGAGCAATCGAAGATTGTTCAATTGGAGGGCAAGCTCGCGGGTGCTCAAAATCGCGCCGAGGTGGCCACAACCAAGGCAAACGAGGCCATGGAGGAGCTCGACATTCTACAGAGCAAACTGGCGTCGGATGTGGAGGCTGCTAAGGAGCGCGTCCGGGCAAAGTTGGAAGCGGATCATGCTGAGAAACTTAAGCAGGCCCGCGAAGAATTTCAGAAAGAGAAGGAGGGTCTGGTCCGCCTTCACAATATTGCGAAGGCAGAGGCTGTGCGCGCAGCCGAGGTCGCTGCTGTCTGCCAGTATAAAGTGTCTCCCTCTTTTGGGAAAATTTTGGCGGACGCGATGACTAAGACGGTGATCGCGGTGCGCAAGAAGGTGCGGCCAGAGAATCCAGGAGTCCGCTGGAACACTCGCGCCATGGTTCGCCACGTCCAGATGTGGTTTGGCGAGAAAAGGTCCCTCGAGTCTGATTCAGAGTCGGAGGAAGAGGAAGAGGAGGCGCGCTCGGACTCGGGGTGCAGGAGAGGATGGGGGAAGGATGACCATGCCGACGCGGCGCAAGCTAACGCGGGGGATGGTTCGACCAATGAACAAGTGTAGTTGCGCTGTTTTGGCGTTTTCCTTTTTTGCGCGAGTGTGGCTGTTTCTTTCTTTTCTTTTGTGTATTTGTTAAGTTTCCTCCCACTGATGCAATCCAAAATGTTCTCCTTCGAAATTTGTTGGCGCTAATAACGCATGATTATCGCTATTGTTTTCGTTCTTCTGAACGGTGTTGGCGCGAATAACTCGTGGTTATTGCTATTTCTGTTCTTTCGAACTTTGGGGGCGCGAATAACTTCTCGGTTATTGCTACTTTCTTGTTCTTTCGAACTATGTTGGCGCAAATAACTTCTTGGTTATTGCTATTTTCTTGTTCTTTCGAACTATGTTGGCGCGAATAACTTCTTGGTTATTGCTATTTTCTTGTTCTTTCGAACTGTGTTGGCGCGAATAACTTCTTGGTTATTGCTATTTTTTGTTCTTTCGAACTGTGTTGGCGCGAATAACTTCTTGGTTATTGCTATTTTCTTGTTCTTTCGAACTGTGTTGGCGCGAATAACTTCTTGGTTATTGTTATTTTCTTGTTCTTTCGAACTGTGTTGGCGCGAATAACTTCTTGGTTATTGCTATTTTCTTGTTCTTTCGAACTATGTTGGCGCGAATAACTTCTTTGTTATTGCTATTTTTGTTCTTTCGAACTGTGTTGGCGCGAACAACTCAATATTATTGCTACTTTCTTGCGCCCATGCGCGAATAGTACATCAGTTTGGGCAATAATATTTCCTGAGATTCTGTGCGTTCCATGTTCGTGGAATTTTGATGCCGCCAAATTCGCTAAGCTTGAAGGTGTTGGCGCCGACAACCTCTCGGATTAGGTACGGGCCTTCCCATGTTGAAGCGAGCTTGCCATGTTTGGGGTCGGGGCGGAAGTTCCTGCGCAGCACTTGATCTCTGAGCATCAGCTTGTGCGGGACTAGCTTCTTGTTGTAGTACTTGGCTACTTGCTCTTTTGTCGCGGCTAGCTTGATGGTCGCCAATTCTCGTCGCTCTTGTGCTAGCTCCAGGTCTAGCAGGCATGCTTCATCGTTATCCGCCTCATCATACGCCGTGACCCTATAGGTTGGGGATGTTATCTCGATGGGTATCACCGCGTCAGTGCCGTAGGTGAGCGCGAACGGGGTTTCGCCCGTTGCCACTTTGAAAGTGGTGCGGTGCACCCATAACACCGTGTTGAGCTCGTCTGCCCAATTGCCTTTGGCTTTGTCTAGTCTCGTTTGGAGGCCGTGCGGGATTGCTTTGTTGGCCGCCTCCGCTTGGCCATTGGCTTGGGGGTAGGCTACCCATGCGAACCTCGCAATGACACCCACCTGGTCGCAAAAGTCGATCACCTCTGCGCAGTCGAATTGCTTCCCGTGGTCGAAAATAAATGCATTGGGGACTCCAAAGCGGGCCAGGATGTTGCTTCTTAAGAAGCGTGTTACCTGATGTGTCGTTATCGAGGCCAATGCTTCTGCCTCAATCCACTTGGTAAAGTAGTCGACCGCCACAATTATGTACTTGCGCTTTCCTTTGGCTATTGGGAAGGGGCCCAGGAGGTCCACTCCCCATTGCGCGAAGGGCCATGCGCTTAAATTTCCCTAGAACTCAATGGATGGGAGGTGGTGTTGGCGCGCGTGCAGTTGACATTTGTGACATTGGTCAACATACTTCTTTGTGTCTTTTTTTACTTGCGGCCAATAGTATCCGTGCAATAGTATCGTGCGTTCCATGCTACGCGCACAGGCGTGCATCGCGCACAGGCGTGCATCGCGCACAGGCGTGCATCGCGCACAGTCCTTCATGCAGGTCATGAACCATGGTGCGCGCCTCCTCTTCACCGATGCATTTTAGGTATGCTCCGGAGTATGACCGTCGGTACAACTCCGCTCCGATTAGGGTGCATCGAGCCGCCTTTTGTCTTAGCGTCCACGCTTCCTTGGCATCTTCTGGCACCGCGCCGTTTTGCAAGTACCTTATGATCGGTGTCCGCCAGTCTTCATCCTGTGTTGTCTAAGTGGTGTTGACCACAGCTTCTTGGTGGATTTCTTCTTCCTCTTTTTGCACCGACACCAGTCGCGTTGACTCAAAGTCGGTGGCTGTGGCTAACTTTGATAGCGCATCGGCGTGCATATTTTCTTCTCTGGGTGTTTGCACGTATGTCACCGCCTCGAAGGTATTTGCCCGTTGTTTGACACGCTCCATGTAGTGTGCGAGCGCGTCTTCTTTGGCGTCGAAGGCTCCGTTCAGCTGGTTAACTGCTAGTGATGAATCGAACAGTACCCTGATTGTTCTAGCGCCCAAGTCATTGGCGGCTGTCATTCCTGCTAGGATTGCTTCGTACTCGGCCGCGTTGTTCGTCTTCAGAGTTCTGAATCGGATTGCTATTTTGTGCACAACACGCGTAGGGGTGCGTACGACGACTCCCGCGCCGGCACCATGTTTGCTTGCCGCTCCATCCACGTAGAATTCCCACACTCCTTCTGGTGTTGTTTCTAGGGTTACCCCTTCTGCGATAAAATCCGCCAGGATTTGCGCTTTTATTGCCGGTTTTGGAGCGTACCAGATGTCGTACTCTGATAGCTCGACCGCCCAGTTGACCATCCGCCCCGACACTTCCATTGAGGTTAGGATTTTTTTTTTAGCAGGAGGTTGGTCAGGACGGTGATTTGGTGCGCTTGGAAGTATGGGCACAACTTCTGCGCCGCGCTCACTAGCGCCAAAGCGGCTTTTTCTATTGGGGAGTATCTTGTTTCTGCGCTAACAAGGGTCCGCGATGTGTAGTACACTGCGCGCTCATTTTGGCCCTCTCTTCTGAATATTAGTACTGCGCTCACGGCTCTTGTCGACACAGCAAGATACAGAAAAAGCTTTTCATTAAGTTTTGGGGCGGTCAATACAGGGGGAGAGACAAGATAAGTCTTGAGCACCTGGAACGCCGCTTCACATTCTTTGGTCCATGTGAATCGCGCACCGTTTTTTAGCGTCTTGAAGAATGGGGCGCACTTGTCAGCTGATCTCGATATGAACCTTCCCAGCGTCACTATTTTTCCGTTCAGGGACTGGATCTCCAATGTGTTCCTCGACGCGTGCAACTGTTGGACTGCAGTGATTTGCTTTGGGTCAACCTCGATGTCGCGCTTGGTGATCATAAATCCCAAGAATTTTTTGGCTTCTGCCCCGAACACGCATTTCAGTGGGTTGAGGCGGAGACTGTGCTTGCGGAGTGCCTCAAATGTCTCACGCAAGTCTTCCACGTGTGATTTGCCCGCCTTGGTCTTGACGATGAGGTCATCCACGTAAGCCTCGATGTTCCGCCCTATCTGTCGTGAGAACACCGCGTCGATCATTCTTAGGTAAGTCGCGCCAGCGTTCTTCAATCCAAATGGCATCCCGACGAAACAAAAGTTTCCGAATGGTGTCATGAAAGCCGTTTTTTCTTCATCCTCGCGAGACATCGGGATCTGGTGGTATCCTGAGAACTTGTCCAAGAAAGATAGCGTCTCATGATCGGCGGTGGCGTCAATCAGCTGGTCAATGCGCGGGAGAGGGTAAGGGTCTCCCGGGCACACCTTGTCGATCGTTGTATAGTCGACGCGCATCCGCCAGGCCCCTGAAGATTTCTTGACCAAAACCACGTTTGCCAACCACTTCGGGTATTTGACCGGGCGAATCAGTCCTGCCGCTAACAGGCGCGCGACCTCTTCTTCAATGGCCTTCAGTTTGTCGCCAGTGAAGCTTCGTCGCGCTTGTTGACTTGGTTCCGCGTTGACTGGAACCGCGAGGCAATGCTGGGCGACGTCCCTTGGGACTCCTGGCATGTCTTCTGTGCACCAGGCGAACAGTTCTTTGTACTCCTTGAGCAGCGCTATCAATGGCTCAATCGCGTCACCGCGGACGTGTGTCAAAATGCGTATTTTTCGCGTCGGCTCGGCTGGATCGAGTGCGACTTCAAAATTGGACTCCGTCGACTCCGGATGGGGCTCCTCTGCCCTTGTGTCCACAATGTTGGTCTGGCGGGACTCTCCTGGGTTTGGGGCCTCCCATGGCGTCCCGCGCGCTTCGCCGGCCCCTGCCTTGGTGGGGAATTTGAGCTTCTGGTGGCATGTTGACGGGAGAGCCATGAATTTGGCTAGGAAGGGCCTGGAAAAAATGCCATTATGGGGTGAGTTACAATCGACTATTGTGAATTCGACCTGCTTCGAGACACGCGGCTCTTGGTCTCCAAGGACAACCGGGAGGGTGACTACGCCAATGACTGGAACTCTCATTCCGGAGAAGCTGACTAAGTTCCCCTGAGCGCGCTTGATCAGTCGCGGATCGATGTCCATTTGATCAATAGTGCTTTTGAAAAAGATGTCTGCCGCGCTGCCCCCGTCTATCAGTAGGCGGTGGATTTTACAGGCAGCGACAAGCGCGGTGATGGTAAGGGGGTCTTCTGATGGGACCCCCTGGGGGAACACCGCGTCAACGAAGCTCAGGTTGCACTTCGTCGGTACCTCGGCCGCTGCGCACTCTATAGCGCGCTCGCGCTTGGTTTTCTTCTTGGGGCGGTCTCCTTCTACTGTTACCACCCCGATCTCTTTTCGTACCACGTACGAGCCTGTGCCGTCGTTATAGTCCGCTTGGGGGGGTGGTGGTGGTTGTATTGGTTGTTCCGTCTGTTCCTCCGCTCCGCGAATGAACTCGATCAACAGCCCCCTTCGGATGAGGCCTTCGATCTCGTGGCGCAACTCTCTACAATCCCCTGTCCAGTAGCCAGTTTCTCTGTGGAATTCGCAGCGCTTCTTCGGATCGCGCATGTGTGGTAAGGACCTCAGAGGTGCGGGCCAGTTGATTTTGTAACTCTTCTCGCGCAGAACGTGGAACACATTCTTCACGGAGTCATTGAGGGGTGTGTAGTTGCGCCTCTCCGGTGATCGCCCTCGTTGAACTTGCTCTGGCGCGGGTGGTGGGCTTCTGGGGCCGCTGTGCCATTGCATCAACTAGTCCCGCGGTACTGGTAGTGGTTTTCGCGCTTGCTCTTCTTTAGGCGCCTTTGCGGGTTCAAAGCGCCTGATGGAACCCGCGCCGAGTGTCTCCTCTAGCGTGATGGCTTTCTCGATCTTGACCTCCAGCTCTGTCGTCAGCGTGACAGGTCTTTTTGCTAGCGCTCGTTTGAGCTCCATGTTGGTGGTGGCGTCCATGAGGTGATGGGCAGCAGTTTCTGGGGTGAGGTCTCTCACGGCCATTGCCACCCTGGACCACCTGGCATAGAATGCTCGCAAGCTTTCTCCGTCCTTCTGCCTGATATCTATCAGCGCCTTGAGGTGAAGCGGCCTTCTTTTCTGGGATGCAAACTTTGTGGTGAACAGGAGTATGAACTCCTCGAACGAGCGGATGATTCCATTTGGGAGGCGGTTGTACCAATCGAGGCATATTCCGGAGAATGTTGACGGGAAGGTTCTGCATAGCGCCGCGTTGGAGTTAGTCTGGAGTTGCATCCTTAGGCAGAAGGTGCTGACGTGATCCTCTGGATCAGCCGTCCCGTTGTAAGTTGGGAGGGTGGGTGGCGTTCCGCTTAGGTGTTCCGCCATTATTTCTGCGCTCAACGGTTGATGTAGGATTCTTCTGGGTGGGTTAGGACGGAATTGCGGAGACAGATGTTGCTCCAAGAAGCTGAGGTCCGCCCTCCCTGGTGGTTCGATTCGTTGCGCTTCAGCCGCGGACAACTTGCCCTCCGCCTGTTGTGGTGGCGCGGCTGCGCCTGACGCCTCTCCTTGTTGTAGCGCGACAGGCGCTGCACCCGGTGCTGTCGCGGCTTCCTTGCTCATCATGAGCGCGAGGACTTGGCTCATCTGTTTTTGCATGTCGGCTATGACGCTGTTTTGCTTTGCCACTAGCTGCTTCATTTCCTTGGCTGTCAGCTCGATCTCTTCTTCCTCCACGAGCACCGCGTTAAGGTTGCTGCCTTCGGCGAACGCCCTCCGGGTTGTCATGGCCTTGATGGGTGTCACCTCGTCGGGAAAGTTGGAGTTGGGTTCTGCCATTGGTTGGATTTTTGTTACTTTTTCTACTCTGCCCCACGGTGGGCGCCAATAGTTTGAACCTAAATGGGTGTAGGAGTGAGATTCAGGTAAAAAGGGGTCGAGGAGAATTGAGTAACAGGAACCGAAGTGGGGCTTCAGAAAGAAAGAGGGAAGAGATGGAGCTCAGAGAGTAACTTGTAGAGAGAAGTCTGTTCTTTTTCTTAGAGAGAGTTTCCAAAAAGTGTGAGTTTCCTGCTGATCTTGTTAAGCTATCCAAAAGGGTCTCGAACCGCTGTGTCACATCCGGCGCTCAGAAAGTGAGGAAGTTTTTTTCCATATGTTCTTGAGAGAGTCTATTTGAGCTTTCTTGTCTTTGAAGCAAGATGGCAGCTGAGAGTGAAACGAATCCTGCAACAAAGATGTTGGAAGGTCAGCTACCGCAAATAAGATTGGAGGAGGAGGAGGAAGAGCCTTTACTAATTGAAGAGAAAGATAAGACTAAAGGAATCGACCTAGCAGTACAAAAACTAGGGCTAATCGGCATGTTGCTTGCCTCTCGAAACACCAACATCAAGTCGATGAAAGCAGAATTATCTAAAGCTTGGAATCTAAAAAAGGAGTTCACTATTATGTTGATAGAAGAGAATATGTATGCTTTTCATTTTAGCGAGATGGATGACAAGAATAGGGTCCATTTCGGAGGCCCTTAGCACTTTGATGGAGATCTTCTGATTTTTACAGAAGCTGACTTAAACAAGAAAGTCAAACTGGAGGATCTACATGAGATGGAAGTTTGGATCCGAGTTCTGGACATTCCTCCATCCTATAGGAAACAAGGAATGGCAGACAAAGTCGCGAGCAGGTTTGGCAGGTTCTTTTTGTTCAATGAATGGAATTTAGGAATTTGGAGCTCTTTTATGCGCTTCCATGTGGAAAAAGATATCAACACACCAATCAAAAATAAAGTTAAACTAAATATTGAGGGCAGGGTCCAAGAATTTGAAGCGAAATACGAAAGGCTCCCCACTTTCTGTTTCTTCTGTGGGGTCATAGGGCATCCGAAAAAGTTTTGCATGAGTCACGATCAATCATAAGAAAATGCATATGGTCATTGGATCAAAGCAGGACATCTCCCAAAGGGTCCAAGAATGTGAAAGCAAGAGAGGGAGATGGATTCGAAGATATGGATGATGTTAAACTAGGAGTATGACAAATTCTAGCTGGAACCCAACAGATCATAACTACAGTGGCGAAGGAAGTAATACCTTATATGGAATCAGTAGCTGGTCTGACTGAAACTGAAAAACTCGAACATATGAAGGAACATGAAGGACCAAAGGAGGTATATGAAAAAGAAGAAAGACAGGAAAAGATATGGAACAACAGGCAGGTGCTGGGAAAGAAAGAACTTGCTATGAAGTTCAAAGGGGTGGTAGAAGTAAACAATGTACAGAAAACGATCCCACAAGAGGAGGGAAAGGAGGAGAGTGATAAACATCAAGGTGGTCAACATGCAAAAGAACATGTTCAAGAGAAGAAGGGAAGAGTATGGAGGCGCCAATATCAAAGTAAAGAGCGTCCATAGGGACTCTCCACTAGCCTGGTAGGAGGATCCTAACGTGAGCAAGCAGAGGAGCAGGCGATTGATATGGATATTGACATGCAGGAACAGAAAACTACACAAAAGGATGGCATTGTGGCGGACTCTGCGAAAGAGCAGAGCCGCCCAGCTCAATGAGTGTTTTGAGCTACAACTGTCGTGGGTTGGGGAACTCCACAACGTAAGGACCCCAGTATTGTCTTCCTAATGGAGACAAAGAAATAGAACCATGAATGGGAACAAGTGATGAATGATGTGGGTTGGACAAAAGAAAAAGGAGTGGGCTCTAAGAACAGAGCTGGAAGACTGTTGTAACTGTGGAAGGAGGAGGTAAAAATTACTGTTAAAGATAAATCTAGACATTTTTATAAATGTACTTGTAGACACCACATTTTGTCCGGAGCAACCATCCTACTCAAAACTCAAAAGAATATCCAACTTAAAAAGAAAACTCAAGTGAAATTTGGACGAGGTTGGTTGAGATTAGCGATGGCGAATCAATAAGTACCAACGATTTCCAAGTCCTCTTTTTATTTAGTTTGAACATTTGTACTAGTTAGGATTAGCAGTAGCTAATGGTTACCAAATTCGCTTTCGCTTTATTTAGAATAACAATAGTAGCTGATGGTTACCAAATTCGCTTTCGCTTTATTTAGAATAACAATAGTGTTGTCACAACCTATACTAATATCATTGTACTCAGTTTACAGTTGGTCACATTGGTCCAAAGGTGGTCAAATGGAGGAATAGTAGTAATCCATGGTTTGGGAAACGTTGATTAGAAATTTGGATACGATTTAAAAGCAAACGAATTGGGTTGGAAGAATCAATTGAATGTTTGAGCAATTCATACAATGATCATCTAATTCTGAAGGCAATAACATAAATAAATGTGTAACTACAAATTACAATTTATACACTTAGTAATTATACATTAAAAACAAAAAAAACTATCAGAAACAAACCCACACCAGCAGCCCAATTCTCAAACCATAAACCCAATCCAGGTCCGTAATTTTCGGCCCAGTCCACAAGTCAACCAGCCCAGTCAAACAAAGTCAATGGGTCAACTTCAGTCAACTTGGATCAACCGACTTCTTGAAGCCTATCTCATCCAAAAGGCCAGCAATGATTACTGCCTTTTCTTGAAGGGAGGAAAATGGCCAGCTCTTCTGCAAACCAAACAAACAATTGACAACACACCCAAATGAATAGTAAAAAAACCAGATATAAAAGTGGAGGTCGGCTAAAAAACAGAGGGGGACTTCTGGCTGGAAATCCAAAAAAGGGGGAAAATATCACGATAAAAAAAACAGCAAATTTGATAGGAGAAGGGAAGCTGATCGATACAAGGAGAGAAAGCAAAGGCAGCAAACACGATATTGAAGAAAAGGAGAGATTCAGAAGGGAACTTCAAGAACAAAGGCACAAACAACAAAGAGGCAACAACAAATCAGATTTCATCAAACACCAACCACTAAGAGGCCATACCAGGTTGGTATTTCTTCAACCAAAACCAAAGTTACAAGTATATGTCACCCATATTTACATAATCATTCAGCCCAATATATCTAAAAACATAGTAGAAAAACAAGAATAGACATGCTTTTATGCTAGAACTGTATGTAAGTAGATGATTGAAGCCATTTTTCCATGATAGAGCTATATGTATATGAATGATTGAAGCTAACTGAGGCAACTAGTTTCCTATGGCTTTCACTCGAAACTCTAAATCTTGCTACGAATTTGCTAATCTAAAAACCAACAAAACCAAACCAGTTTGTTGCTTGCAGATAAGAAAGTCAGATCCGACATATTTATGCCCATTTAACGACATTTACTTGTGTTAGATCTGATTTATCTATGTGCTAGATCTGACTTCACTATACTTTTGAATACATGTTTCTGCCCAAAGTAAACAAAACATTATATGAAACCAGTTATGACAAGTTCAATTAAGACCTATAGTCCCTATGTAATCATAGTAGTGTCTATGACTAGGTTATTGTAAGATCTTTTCAATTGGAAACTTAACAAAAGCCACTAGCTGTTCAGTATACCATAGGCGAAATAGAGAGACTACCTCAAACTACCAAGTAAAGACCAATAAACGAAATTAATGCAGAAATTCAATAAAAGATAGCAAATCCTAGTCCGATAAAAATGGCAAACAGTGGCAGAGATTTATAGAAGCGAAAGTAGCTACTTTGGTTCATTACCCAAAAATCCCAAATCAAACAATCAAATAGCAAGAGAGAAAGTTTGATTCTGTTATAGATCGCAGGCAGTAGCAGCGATCATTAGTTTAGCTTCTTTTAGCTTTTTCAACCAAATAAACAAGTCCCAGATCAAAACCTGTAACAACAAAAATAAATAAAAAAGGATACCGAAACCAAAACTCTGCCGCCGGTTGTGGTGCAGGCTGCGTCGCCGGCAGCTCCCATTTCTCTTTTCGGTGGAGACCGGAACAAAAACAAAAAATAAACAAATGGGGTAAGATCCCAATCGAAAGGGTAATCAATAAAAATAAACATGCGTATTAAAGAGAGGGCTTACCAGGGGGTAAGATCTTCTCACCATCGTCGCGGTCCCAACCAGAAAGGCAGATTGAGAACCCATCTCGGCTCTGGGTTGGTTTTTCTGGAAATAAAACACAAGAAATAGGGGTCAGAATTTCGAAAAAAACCCCTAACATCGGATACGAAAATAGCAGAAATCGCATGAATAAAGAAGTAAACAAACCTCATAAACTCCAAAATAAACACAAATCCATATCAGAATCATAATTAAAACAAAAAATAGCTAAGAAGCCGACATGCAAGATGACCCTACCTCGATCGATCGTCGCCGACGAGGTTCCGCCGCCGTGCCCGTC